CAAGCCACGCAAGCACAGGATGCGAGGGCCCCATCTCAGGCAGCTGTGGAAGTGGGCAGCAAGGCTGCTGAGAATCGTGCAGCTGGTTCTGATGGGGAAATGATTCCCAAAGATGACCGCAACGGTCGTGTGCAGGCAGCAGCCCCCCGCCGAGTGAGTCGCCGGCTGAGGAAGATGACGGCGCGGGATGTGCAAAGAGGTCCGGTGCTGGTGGATAATGAAGGGCAGGGAGGGGCAGCGGCGCCGCCGAAGGTAGAAGACGCTTTGGCGGACTCAGACTTTGGCCAAACGGGGGGAGTGGTGGAGTCCGATGGGTATTGCTCTCCTGTGGACAAGAATGATTTTGAAATCAAACGGAGGTCGCCGGTGGAGGACGCAACTCGTGTTCGTCTTATGCCAGCAGGTCAAGGTGACAAAGATGTGGAAGCTTTTGATAAGGGTGGACCTATTGAAACCGGGGTGGGAGAACTTCTCTCTATCCGGATAGGCGAGCATGACATTCGTGTCCCCCGCATAAAACAGTCGGTGACAAATGAGCAAGCTTCGCCCCGGCTGAATGAATATGGGTCAAACCTTCCGGTCCCTGAGCCTGGAAATCGAAAGCGCTGTCTGGATGTCTTGGAAGGGGATGTGGGTGACCCACCTACCCCTAAGAAACTTTTTGTGGAGTCTGCTGATGATGGGAAAAAGGTGGAGGAAGCCAGCCTCGAGTGGCCCCAAGGGGATAAATGAGGCTTCTTGCCTGGAATGTGAGGGGAATTGGACCATCACTCACATTCCAAACTGCTGTAGGTTTGGTGCATTCTAATAAGCCGGATCTCGTGTTTTTTTCTGAAACACGATCGAGCCGGCGTGTAGTTTCCCGTCGTATGCGGGGTTTAGGTTTTTCTCTTTCTCATTGTTTCTTTGTTGATGCAGTCGATGCATCGGGTGGGTTAGTTGTGGCGTGGTCCCCCGGGGTGGACACTTCGGTGTTTTATCATTCTGAGTTCTGTATTTGCATTCGAATTAATGAAGTTAATTTTTCCTATGTTGTGGTTTTTGTGTATTTGAGCTGTCGTTTGATTTTGCGTGAGGCCCAGCTGGCCCAGCTTCGCGATATTTGCACTAATATTAATCATCCCTACGTTGTCATTGGGGATTTTAATGTTACGCTTCATGAAAGCGAAAAAGATGGTGGGTTGGCTTGGAATGCTGCTCAAGCCATTGGGCTGCGTGATTTTGTTCAGGTGTTGGGGCTCCATGATCCTGGTTACCAGGGGGACCAATTCACTTGGACAAATAAACGTATGGGCGCTGCTTGTATTCGGGAAAGATTGGATAGAGCCCTGTGCTCCCAGGTCTGGATTGATCAGTTCCCTGAGACTTTGGTCAAGCATTTTACTGATCAGGGGTCGGACCATCGTGCCCTTCTTCTTTCCGATAAGGCGTATACTCGAACCAGCCGCCCCCTATTCCGCTTTGACGCCCGTTGGGCTGATAATCCGGAGGTGAGGGCTATGGTAAACTATGTTTGGAAGGAGGAGATTCAAGGCACACCTATGTTTCGACTTTGGGAGCGCCTGAAAAAGCTTCGCCATCTGCTATATGACTGGAGTAGGGCGGGGACTACCAATTCCCTGCGGAATATTAAAACCCTCCAAGCCGAGATTGAGCGGATTAAATCGTCCCATCCAATTGATTGGGACACTATTAAAATCTTGGAGAAAGAACTGAGCCGCCAATGGGAGGCAGAAGAGATTTACTGGCAGCAGAAGTCCCGGGTCCATTGGCTAAAGAAAGGAGATCAAAATACTTCCTATTTTCACACTGTCACGCGGGCTCGCCGTAAGCGGAACTTTGTGGCTGGTCTTCGGACGGATAGTGGAGATTGGGTGACCGAGGAAACTGGGAAGGCAGCTATTGCCACTGATTTTTATCAGTCTCTTTTTACTTCGGAATCTCAAATCCCTAATATGGCTGAGCGGGTGGCTACTCTCCCCATCAATCTTACGGTCTCCCTCGAAATGAATGCGGCCTTAACGGCGGATGTTATGCCTAGTGACGTCCGTGCAACGGTCTTTGCCATGGGGTCGAAGCAGGCGCCGGGATCCGATGGGTTCACGGGTAAATTTTTCAAAGCCTTCTGGGACATAGTGGGTCCTTCGGTAACTGAGGCGGTCTGCTCATTCTTCGTAACGAGTAGGATGCTCCGAAGTTTTAACCATACTTGGTTGACCCTGATTCCTAAGGTAGATAACGTTGAATCCATGAAGCAATTGCGGCCGATCAGCCTATGTCAGTTCGTGTATAAGATCATAACAAAAATCATGGCTGAACGGCTTGCTTCTTTCCTCCCTCAAATCATCTCTGAAGGGCAGAATGCTTTCATTAGAGAACGGCAGATAGTAGAAAATATCCTCCTCGGGCATGAGTTAATGCATTACCTAAAGATCAAAACGAAGGGGAAGAAGGGATACATGGCTCTGAAGGTTGACATGGAAAAGGCCTATGATAGAGTCGAATGGTCCTTTCTTCTGGCAGTTTTGGATAAAATGGGTTTTAACTCTGTGTGGCAAGGATGGGTGCTTGAATGTCTGCGGTCCGCCTCCTTTTCGGTCCTGATGAATGGGTCGCCGTCGGGGTATTTCACTTCCTCTAGGGGTCTACGGCAGGGAGACCCGCTTTCCCCCCTTTTGTTTGTGTTGTGCACAGAAGGGTTTGCGGCTCTCCTCCGTAAGGCTATCACGGAGAAGAAGCTTGACGGGGTAAAGGTGGCTCCTAGGGCCCCTAAGATCTCGCACCTCTTCTTTGCTGATGACTCCTATCTGTTCCTTCGGGGGAATCTCCAGGAATGTGAAAACCTGATTGAGGTCTTAAATGAATATGAGGAACTAAGTGGCCAACGTGTTAATTTGGCGAAGTCAGCAGTGTGCTTTAGTAAGAATATTGCTCTGCCTGACCAGGAATTTTTGGCGACAATTTTAGGTGTTGGGGCGGTCGGGGTCCATGATAAGTACCTAGGATTACCAACACTAATTGCTAGATCCAAAATGGCTACCTTTCGGTATTTGGAGGATAAACTGCTAGAGCGGCTGCAGGGATGGAAGCAACGAACATTATCGTGGGCGGCAAAAGAGACTTTGATTAAGTCGATAGCGTTGGCATTGCCGCTACATGTGATGTCCTGTTTTAAGTTGCCTCTATCCCTCTGTCGTCTCTTGGACAAACATGTAGCACGGTTCTGGTGGGGGTCTAATGAGGGGCACTCGAAGGTGCGTTGGGTTTCCTGGCGTAATATGTGTAGGAGCAAACATGAGGGTGGGATGGGATTCCGTCGCTTTGAGCACTTTAATCAGGCACTTCTTGCTAAGATTGGATGGCGGATCCTGACTGACCCGGAATCCCTGCTGGCTAAGGTCTACAAGGGGAAGTATTTCCCGAGAGGGACCTTTCTACAGGCTACGGCTCGATCCCGCCCGTCGTGGGGTTGGCAGAGCATTTTACATGGGCGCCAGCTGTTGGAACGGGGCTTACGTTGGCAAATTGGTAATGGGCGGTCGGCGTCTCTTCTCCGCTCTAATTGGATACCTCAATTGCAATTGGATCCTCCCAGGTATAATCCGAGAGTCCTTCCGGAGGGAGGGGATCCCCTGGTGGCAGAGGTTATGGTTCCAGGGGAGGGGAGGTGGTGTGAGGAGAAGTTGAGTCAGTGGTTTGACCCAATGACATGTAGGGCCATCCTTGCAATCCCCTTGCCGCGGTTGGCTATGGAGGATAGGCTGATCTGGCATGACACTGTGGATGGGGTGTTTTCTGTCAAATCGGCATATCACCTAGCTGTTTCGTTGGATAGGAGAAGGGGTGTGTGGAAAGCGGTGGCGAGTTGGATGGACAAGGCTAGTTGGATGCGGTTGTGGAATGCTGATATTCCCCCGAAGTTGAAAGTGTTTGTTTGGCAAATCCTCAATCGAGCTCTCCCTACGACCGAAGCCCTTCTTGAGAGAAAGGTTCCGGTGCATCCTCGATGCCCGGTCTGTTGGGAGACCTCTGAGACTATGGAGCATCTGTTTCTGTATTGTCCGGTGGCGAGGGCCATCTGGGACTATTCGGGACTGGAGTATTTGGGAGAAGGTTTGCCTAGGCATACTTTCCCTTTATTTCTCAAGCGAGTCCTGGCGCTGATAAGCCACCCGTCGGTGTTCATGGCGGTTGTGGCGGTCCTTTGGCGGATCTGGCGTTCTCGGAATTGGGTTGTCTTTGAGGGCAAGCAATTCGGGATACCAGCTTTGATGAGACAATTTAATCAGCAATATGAGGAATGGGTTAGCTTGTCTAGTAGTCGGGGTTCCCAGGTCGTTCCATCTACACCGCGACAGTTGGGCCCGGTTGGGGCTGGCTGGGTTGTATGTATGTGGGATGGGGCCATTAGAAGGGGGCGGTATTCGGCTGGAGGCCTGGTTCTTGCAAGTCCGGCTAGGGACATCCTGCTGGCCAAAGGGGTTCAGTTCCAAGTGATTGATGACCCGATGGTAGTAGAACTACTCGTGCTAAGGGAAGCTATTGTTTGGTGTCTGGAGTTGGGGTTCTCGCACGTTATTTTTGAAGGGGATGCCAAGATCGTTATTGATAAAATCAACCTGGCAGATACTCGGGATAATAGGATGGGTGCTGTGCTTGAAGAAATAATTCAGTATTTTCGTACCCATGCGGGGTTTAGTATTCGATTTGTAGGTCGGGAGAACAATAGGGTAGCGGGTAGCCCATGCTGTGGCTAGAAAGGCCCTTTCTTTGTACCCGGCTATGAGTCGTGCTTTTGACTTTCAGACCTGGCTGAATTCCAGGGTGTAACTGTCTATTAGTGGAATCAATATATGATTATCTTTTGTCAAAAAAAAAAAAAAATTAACTTTTAAAGTCCAATTAATAATAAACAAATCTTCTTGATTGGACACTAAGAAATAGTGCTCCGTACAAACCAAACTTTTAATATCTTAATTAATTAATTAATTAATTAATGTTGTTCATTTGAAGAATTTTTAACTATTCATGTTTCTCATGATCAACCGCGGTTTGGCAACAGTGAAAAAAAGATGCACATGAAGATGTTAATTTTAGACCAAAGATTCCTCAAGAACAGACAAGGCAAGCCATAAAGATCCTTAATGTTTTCAAACTAGGATGAATTCTTCCTATGGGAGATTCAGGCAAGCACTCCTCTGAAAGTAGACCCTTTTGTGCACCAGATCATATCCGACGTTGTAGTTCTGCTGCGCAAGGATCCCAATACTACCCGACTGGGTAGAATCAGCTGCACCAAAAGCCAAGCAGAAGGCATCCTGATCGGCCAGTTGCATGAAAGTTCCGTATGCGTCGATGGATAGCTCTGCCCCGCCGGCGAAATGTATGCCTAAAACCGGCAACCAGACGGCGACTTCACTCAGCTTCCCGCCGTAGCAGACTACGTGCTCCGCAAGTTCAGGCCAAACCCGCTTCCATTGGGAGCCTTCCATGTAGGACACGATCGTGCGCTCCACTTCATAGTAGGCAGCTTTATTTAGAAACGTCATCTGTACAAGGAACCGGTGTTAGTTAGTGGTGGAGTCACGTTGACGTTGATGGCAATTAAGAAACGGCAATGAACATATCTCAATACACGTATTACAAGTCGGATCCAAATCAGCTAATTTTTTACAAGGTGTATGTCGAGGCAGGGCGACCAATATAGGTATATAACTAAAAGAAACCATTAGAAATATTCATTTTTTATTAAAAAAAAAATCAAGAAACACATTGATGGAACGACAATGAGCATATCTCTATACACATATGACAAGTAGGATCCAAGTCAGGTAATTTATCACAAAGTACGAGTCGACACAGGTCAATTCATATAAGTATGTAACTAAAAAAACATTATAAATATTATTATTTATTAAAAAGCCAAGAAATAAATTATAATGTGATAAATATAATTACATTGTTGAGAAATTGAGGTTCTCACTTATTTACAACTTCGTTATAACTAAAATATAGAGTAATAAAAGTAAAATCCCAAACAAATTGAGTGAAAATAGATGTGATATAATTCGTCAGAAACGGGTCGAGAGTGTGGCCGGTGGCGGATCGCGATGAGAGTGACATGTCCGCGCCCGGCCCAAAACTACGTCAAGCAAGTCAGGTAAGACGAAGTTGACATCTCTAATGGCAGCTGGGAAGGCGTATAGCCCCACGCAGATCTCAAAATCATGTAAATTGTGTAATCAATTTTGGGAAGTAGTTGTGGTTGGTAACGTTTTCAGGACGGCTCAGATATCCTGGAAACATAGATGAATACAGTAATACTGGGGTTGCAAATTGGAATGAGATGGGTTTACCTGGGCTCCGCTGTCAAGTATGACACCGGTGTCGAACGCAGGTGTCTTGACGAATGCCGAGCTCGGTATGTCTAGAGTCAACCCGTCGAAGCTCATCCGCTCCACGGTGACATAGTAGAGCCCGAACTCGGTCACATACGTGGTCCAAACCCCTTGAAGGGTGGCCCCTTCACCGATCTCGAGCCGGCTGGAAGCGAACGGGTTCCGAGGGTCCCCAATGCAGTACGAGAACTTGGGGCGGGGCCCGATTCGCTTGAGGATGGACTCGGATCCCGTCCCAAGCCCCAGGACCCCGGTCATCAGGCTCTCCCCGGGGAGGTCCTGGGTTTTGCGGCAGCAGCCGAACACGACCTTGTCGAGATTCTTCTGGGCATCATGCCACGCGGTGAACCGCACCAACTCCGTGCCGTATGTGCCTTCGGCCCGAGGGGCGCCCGCGTAGCTTTTGTTGAACGCGCACTGGTCAAAGCCCTGGCAGACGCAGTAGGAGTCGCACATCTTGGGTGCGTACGTCGAGGATTTGTTGGGGTCGTAGAGCGGGGTTTGTGGGGTGGGGGAGCATGGCTGGCAGGGGAGGCATTTGATCCATAGAAGGCTGCTCCCCGTGGCCATGACGGCCAGCTGAGGGACCGGAGGCGTCCCGACTGAGAAGTTGGCGTAGTAGATTGAGTTGCTCGATGGGATCAGGCTTGATCTCATGTGCATCGTGTAGTCAGTAACGGATGTCTGGTGTGTGGTGGGGGTGGTGGGGTTGAAGGGGACGATCGAATCGCGATGAACCAAGTTCATCGAGATCCGAGTGGCTGAGACGCAGGTCGTTGATGCTATGGCTAGGAGGAGGAGAACAGGGAAAACTAATGTTGGATCCATGGTGGGTGGCTGCTTGTTGTGGGATAGGTTGGGTTTGATTTCGATTTCGTAGATCCTCCCTGTTCTTATTCTAGTTCTTTATTTATCTATGTCCTAACTAAACTCATGGCACCATTGGCATTGTGCACCTAAACAGTAAGTTGGTGGGTAAGTTGGTGGATGAGACATCACGTGTGATGAGAATACTTCTCCAAAAGAGAAAGCAACCCCTATCCGTGCGTCAAATACACACGTTTGGAAGAGAACATGTGTGCTAATTGGTGCTAATTGTTCCTTTACTATGCAAATTAACAAACATATCTCGTATTGTTTTTCCCCACGTATGTACCCTTCTAAGATTACGACGTAACAAAAATATATTTTTTGTTGAAAATCCTGTTCGGTCACCATTAATTGAAGTGTGATGTCACTTGTGTACCCTCCTAAGACACGAAATTTTTCTCCCATGACACAATGAAGACATAATTAATTGATGAATTTTTTCATATATTTATGGGCTAATACCACCACAACACCCGAACTATGACAAAAATGCAACTTGTGTCCTATTCTTTCAAATATTCCATTTCTGACCTATCGTATGATACTTTTGTGTCATTTGTAACCTGACGATTTCGTTGATCGTTAGAGATAACGTTTCACCAGACGGAAGTCAAATTATTGTTGACTTTTGATGATGTGGCAAACACATGGCAGCCACCTAGATGCCACGTCATCGACATATCAGATTTTTATTTCAAAATTAATTAATATTTATAAAAAAATCCCAAAAATCGAAATTCCTCTCCCAAAAAGAAAAAAACAACTTTTGTCCTCCATCGCCTTCTGCTTTTTAAGAAATAAAAGAAAAATTGCAGAGGCCGTACCACTATTTCAATAAGTTCCTTTAGTATTTTTATTTATTTTGTCTGTGAACTAAAAAAGTAAATAACAATTGAAATTAAAAATTTATGTGAAATGTCACGTCAACTCTAATTGGATTTTCTGCTAAAAACTAACGGTCAACACCGGTCAACACTAATGGAATAATAGTTTATAACATAAATGGAATATTTGAAAGAATAGAACACAAGTGACATTTTTGTCATAGTTCGGGTGTTATAGTGGTATTAGCCCAATTCATACAAATAATTGACGAGTAAACTACAAAAAATAATAAATGATTGATATTTAATGTATTATATTTCACCTTTTATTATCATCAAAATACAATTACGGTCACAAGGACATGCAATGTAACTAAAAAAAATATATATCGATTTAGCACGACATTCGTAAGTTCATGAAAAAGAATTGAGAAAACACTAAAGAGCAATTAATTATTTATTCAGTAAGGACAATTTACCTAGAAAGCAACCTGTTGGAAAGGATTTGGTCCGCTGAAGTCTTCCTTCGACTCCCTAACCTTCTTCCTCTTACCTCGATCGTATTCTTCATCCCTGTTCAAGACACGGGAGGCATATTTGTTTAATTCATCACACTTAGATCCACGTTATTGAAGCCAGATGGAAGATTAACTCACCACTCGTCTGCCACGTAACCGATGCTGAAAACCTCTGCACTATTTGATTTCCGGGTTTGAGATGGATTTACCTTGTCCCAACACGAGGCTGCAACAAACAAATGCAATTGATTAGTAGAAAGCTACTACACCACCAACGATTAAAAAAATGACAGTTCTACCCAGAACGACAGAGTCCAAGGATCTGCTGATCCACCTTTGGCTCAGTTTCTGCTCTCTTTCTTACTAAATAATAATTATAGGGTATGAAAATAACTCTCACCTGTCTTATGCTTAAAACCTTGAGCAAGGAAATCCGCCACACAATTCTTCGCTGCATCTCTTTTAACATTTCCTATCGTGCTGTTAGCATCTTGCCCGTTTGCTGCAGAGTTAGAGATGGAGCTCTTCTGCAATCGCTCAGCTGTTGCAAGGACAGCACCATTCTGACCAGTCCTTTGTGACAATTCCCCAACCATGTCTTCTTGAGGATTCATGCCTGCACAATCCTCCATAGAATGGGGCTTAGCCCTCTTCTTCTGAGAAATTGCTGAACTCAATGGAAAGGCGAAGTTCTTGGAAGTTGAGGGCTCCATCTGAGATGAAAGGCTCTTTTCCTCCTCCAACTGCTGCTGCTTCATGAGCTTCAGTCTGTCTGAACTGCGGCGTTTCCTCTTTCTACTTTTCTTCTTTATGCCATGGCCGAGAGATGTCCTGAAGAAGTTTGTACCAAGATGCAGTTTACAAATATGGTGCTTCAAATGCTTCCTTTTATCTCTTTTCTGTGGACTGCTACCAGTAGCACTCGGCACTTCACTCTCCTTGTCAACTACTTCAACTTTATAGCCTGCCTGATCTCCAGTTTTGTTAACAGGAACGCGGCCATCCTGAGAACGCAAGAAAAAGAAGTCAAAACGCAATGAAAAATCAAATTATCCTGGACATGTGATACATGACTCTGATAAATTACCTGAATCTTCTCACAGCTGGGATCAGATCGTGATAGTGCATGATCTACATGATCCCGATCCCGAACTGATGCAGTCGAACTGGGTACATTTGATGTCATATCACCAGCACATCCAGAAGGCACTTCAACCACCATGGTTAAAGCAGAACTAGGCTGCAGGATGATCAAGTGATCACATTAGCATTTTGGCCTAAATGTCAGCCCCCTCAGGGACCAGGAACCGTGGTATACATGGACTATGTAACACAATGTCTACCTTTTGCAAAGACTCAACAGAGGTGAGCTTGCCAGTTGCCATATTTCGATCCTCACTGGAGCTAGAGGAAATGCAACCACTGACACTTGTTCCTGCTGCAAGTGAGACGATGCAGTCTTTCGGTTCAGGAGTGGGGCTGACATTCTCAGTTACACATTGTGCAGGAGTATCAAGGCATTCTCCTAAATCAGGGTCAAGGAGCAATGGTTGCTTGGCAGAAGATGCCGAAACGGGGCCTGGATTTTGAGTTGAGCATTCTGTATTTGCTGGCTCACTCTTCTGTTTGGTTGGTACTTCCATCTGTAGAGCCTCCTTTGAGACACCATTTATCATTTTCTTAACAACCATGTTAGACATGTTACTAACAAGAGGGGCTTTCATATTGTTTTGTTTTTTAACCTCGTCAAGTTGTCTCCTTGGAGCTACTTTCTTTCTGTCACGAACATAAAATAACATATAAGCCTTCTGATTTAAAACAGTCTTCTCGCCAACTTGGTGAACCTGTAATATCAAAGTAGCAGAAGGCTATTACCAACCAATGAAACAAGTATTCAGTAGAATCACCACACAATCAATATAATTTACCTTTTCATCATCAAGACAGTACCACATCCCAGTCGAGGTGCGAACAAAGCAGACATAATGACCAAAGCGGGTACTGCTTCCATGATGAACTAGAATGCCATAAAGGCTGTACTTCATGTTGCATTCCTGACATGCACAAGTAATACGAGAAAATGAGGCACAATCAAATGAAAGAATAGAAAACCATGGATCACTAACAATTGGAAAAAGGAAAAAGAACTCACATTGGGATCACTAACAAATGGCCTAATGTCCAAGGTACGATCGTAAGACACTTGCTTCCCAACCTTCCTTCCAGGATCATGTTCAAAAAAACGCTTCAAATGTATGCTCAACACATAGGGTGGTTTATTAATCGTGAGACGTTTCGTGGCTCTAACTTTATGCTTGCATTGTTGACATTGATAATGCTTCTCTCCGCCGTCCAACAACTCGGCAGCAGTGAAGTTTCGGAGTGCTACAGGTAAAGCATCCGCTTTGTTTATTTCAAGGCTCAAGTCCAAAAATGGATCAAATTTGTCAGAGCAGTAAGAACACTGCTGGCATTGCACCTGTAATATGAATAGAGTGAGCTAGAGGGCAGATTCTCATAACACCAAGCTATAGCAATAGATATTTAATAGCCTATGCTTGTAAATGGTATAGATTTATAAAAATAATAAAAATACAAATAAATACGAGGAGATTTGTCAAAGTTGACAGAAGAGAGCAAACTTTTCAAAAATCATGAGATATCATATTATTTTCAAACAAATTTTTGGAGCACTTAACAATGAAACAAGCTCAGAGTAATTCCAATTCACATTAGGAAAGAACATTACCCGACTACGCAGGTGACCACCAAAGATTTTGTGCACCAAACTATTTTCATAAGCAGCAGGCGACTCGCTCTGGACTCCTGATGGTAAGCAGCACCTATGCATTGATTCCAGCAAGTTCACCAGGTATTCATGTGCGTCTTCTTGCTTAGAAACTTTGAGAGTTCGGGATACACCTAACTAGATGGTCAAGAACTCCAAATATGAAACACGTGAGATGCAATCCAAATCCACATGAATGAAAACCCTATTTAACTAAATAGTTCCGTACAATGAACAACTGGTTCTAATTCAGACACATTCAGCATGAAACAAAAAGTACTGGCTCTAATCAATTATTTCAGTGATAATTTTTCATAAGAGAGAATAAGAATCGTCCAAATAAACCACGAAGATGAAAAGGATACATTTCATGTTCGAAACAAGATCTGGTACAAATGATATCCCGGTAGATCGTAAAGCACGGTTGACATGTTTCTGGATGGCACACAAGGCACAAAATCCAGCAATACGGCCTGCACGAATAATGATTCCAAAAAGAAGTCGGATATCAAAGATAGTCATAGGTCCATCTAAAGCACAAGGGTTACAAAAATCAAATTAAATGTGTAAAATAGAAAAAAGGGCCAAAATACGTATTCCCAACTCATCCATCATTTCCTTACTAGGGGAATCAAGAGGCTTTACAAATTTCAGTTTATGGCCAAGAATTCTTCAGAAAATTTCTCTAGTCAAAGCACCATAATAGTTGAGATGCAAACCTTACATGAACAGACAAAGGTGTATACTTGGTATGAGCATTAATAGTTCTAATTCAGCTCGCTATGAAATGAGGATATCATTGTGAACATTTGGTAAAGGAAACACATTCAGGTGGTTGTCAAGGAAACAGCTACTAATGTATTCTTAATGGCTGATTAACAGTGGTTGTGTACATTAGTAAGAACCAAAGTAGACAGAAATTGCAAAAACAATATGTGAAAAAAGTCAAGCAAAACAGGCCAACTTACAAGAACTCTTGTGCTTGCCACTTTGTAAATATGCTGCCAAAGGTTCTGTATAAGTCAGGCATTGCAACACCGAGTTGAGGAAACAAGTATTCCCGATGTTTCGCAAACCAGCACCCTGCCAACCACCCACCAAAACTCCTGTGTCAAGTTACTTAACAAGTTCGTCTCTTGTGATAACACGACCCTATGATTCAACTGAGCTAGACCAAATCACCTAGACTTAAGCAAACATGGAAGTAACAAGAGCAAAAAACAAGCTGATCCAAAATAGGGTGACAATGTCTAGAAAATGCTCAATCAGCATTCTATGGAGTGTCTAACGGCACTAAGCCCGCTATACATTCAACATTCCAGCTGCCCATCTACACAATTAGATCGGAACAACTCACACCCACACAATAGCCATGGAAAAAGATCAGAACTTGAATGCTCAAAATTGCAGCGAGTGAAAGCAACTCACAATGCGCTGAAATGTAGTACCGAAGCTACTGATCTCGCTCTCCCACAAATCAATCGTCGTCCCGTCGCTTCTCTTAACTACCTGCCGAGACATCGATGTCGTCAGCTCCTCCAACCTAGCCGGCCCCTTCGATGAATCAGGGTTTAGCGTCTCCATCGGGAAATCCCGACACTTGCCCAAACCGCTGTACTGCTTCCTCGCCTGGTGGAACTCTATCTTCCGCTGCATCATCGCCGCAGTAACAAACGAAGAAGTGGATGCAACGGATATTTCCGCATCCACCGCCAACGAGGACGATCCATCTTTCCCGACCGCCAAATTCTCGCTCCTCTGCCCCGCCACTACCAAACTTTCCATCTCGCAGGCGGATAACAGGACGTGTAGTGGGCGAGAAGATACCGGAGAACGACGATCCGGCGGGGATTTCTGTTGGTTTGATTCCGTCGGCGTTTCTGGAAGCTGAAGAAGCAGAAGTGGCGGAGAGAGGCGGAATCTCACTATTAAACCCTACCCTGCCCTAAAATCCTCTTCCCCTAGTTTTCTTTTCTTTTTCACTGTTCTAGTTTTCTTATGTTTTTTATTTTTTCTGTATGTTTGCTTCCGTTTTGCGTCTGTGGAGGGATGGCAAATTGGCAATACTGGCCCGACCCGGCGGGTTTGACCTGGCCCAGTTTTGGGCAGCTCTTGGCCGCGTCTTCGAATGGGGCGGGTCTTGGCCCGACCCGCTACAGGCCAGATCAGGTCTGGATAGCAAGTCCAACCCACCCCGGCCCGACCCGCGTGTTCCACTCAGTGTTGTCAAAACCGGACCGGATAATAATCCGTCTTAGTGAGAGGTTTAAGGTTTATCGAATAACCGGTGATTAACCGGTATAAAACCGATCATCAAACCGGTGGTATATAATATTTTTAAATAAAATACAAATGACTTCATAATGCATATGAAAATTAGTATTAGTATTTAAATTAAGAATTCTATATCTTATACACATATTCAATTGAAGAATTCAATATTAAAAATATACAATTGTGGGGAGATGGGTTTTTTTCTTTTTTTGAGTTTTGACCAATTATGTAGGTCAATTGAGAAATTAAATGGAGAGAATTAAAAATAAAAAGAAGAGGGGAGGAATTACTGAGAAGAAAGAGAAATCCTAGATTGATAGTTGGGGAAAGAAAGAGAATAGAGAAGATAAAGATGGAAAGTAAAACTAAAAAATGGTCTGTAGGTAGGGGTGAACAAACACACCCGCAAACCGACCCACCCGTCCAATCCGACCCAACCCACCCGTATTTATCGCTAAAACGAAGATTTTGGGTTGGGTGACGGTTTTCTTTTGTGCAACCCGCCTCTTTTGGGTTGGGTTTGGATTTTGGATTACACAACCCGTAGAACCCGACCCAACCCGTGTTCCAACTATTAGTATGAGTTCGTATCTAAAAAATATTTATGTCGTATATAGCCATACTTATGTGAAAATTAAGATATTTCGCCATGTTTTTCTATCATGGTCTCCCTAATCTAATGCATTCTTCGACTTAAAGTTTAGACATAAATTGAATATAATTATGATTCACGTAATCATTTTTCTTGTATACAATTTTAATAGAATAACATATTATTGATGCATTTGTTTATAACCTTTTTAGCCTATTTCAACAAATATCGTGAAAAAAGCTAGACATATGTTGAAGTAAATCACATTTTATTCAAACTCAAACAACATTTGTGAATTTTGATACCTTTCACCTCGATTTATTTGTTTGAAATTTTAATTAGTTATAAAATATTTTTATGGTGTATAATAATTATATATTTTATGTTGGGTTGGGTTTTTACTTAAAAATATCGTCAACCCGACCCAACCCAATTAGAAACAAACCGTAGGGTTTAAATTTTTTTGGGTGGGTTTGGGTTTGATAATTCCCAAACCGTAGTGCATGGGTCGGGTGATTAAAATACTTAAACCCGAACCAACCGACCCATGTACACCCCTATCTGTAGGTGCATGAGTCAACAGAAAAGTGGAAATGTTGTAAGAAAAAGGAATATAATTATTCTCCTTCCCTTTTCATTCAATTTTCGGTTTTGAAGAGAGGAAGAAAAATTTCCATAAAAAGTTGAATAAAAAATGGAAGGTGAATAAATGACTGCAACCGTCGGTTCGGATCTTCCGGGTTTGTCGGTTAGCCGGTTGAACCGGTCAATACCCGGACGGCACATTTCCTTTGCGTTTTTAGGCAATCGAACCCAGATGGCTGGGCGGGGCTGGTTTTCCGCGGTCGGACCGTCCGGTCCGGCCCGGTTTTGACAACAGTTCCACCAGAAGAGCATTACTATTCCCGACCATTCAGCCATACCCCATAATTCCAAGTTCCAACCCATCATCAGTTGTTCCCATTAACTAGATTATGGTCCGGTCTCTTCGCCGGGAAAGTTTGATTCTCATGTTGTCCGGTATAAGTGTAGATATATATTTTTGTTATGGTTCATGTTGTTGGGGTTTAAAGTTACTATTTAGTTTGGTAAGTTCTCCATTAATAATATGGAAAGTATTTGATGTATTTGACTAACCAAGTTTTAAAAATGACGAACAACGTCCAACTACACTAACATAAATACATATTTTTAAACGAAGTCGTATTGATATAAAAACGTCGAAGAAGAACAATAGTAAGAGTTGTTTTACATCATACATGCATAATCAATCTTCAGTATACGATAAAATGTTTCGACTTTTCCATTGACTTTAGTGTATTCAATGATATAATGGAACAAAGTATATGTTTAGAGTGTCCTTAATAAGAAACAAACTAAATCACACACTCATGTTTCGAGTGGCATTTCATATAGAAGTCACAATGTCATTAATGTTGTCGAAGCATGCAGATCTCCAACTGGCAAGTTCAACCAATAGAGCAAAACATAAAAAGCTAAATCAAACGGAAAAGAATGCGAAAACTAAACGAAACATACCTAATATTTTGGAAAAAATCGACAACAAATAAAGTCATTATAGCTCGTACTCAAGTTAGAAAGACTTTGACTTAACAGTAGATAAACAATGATATGTAGTGCTTAAGCCTTAAGAGGGAAGATGACACCTTACATTCTTTATCAATATGCATCTTAGTTTCATAAACTTCAGAACAAAAAAGTAGTAATTCAATAATCAATATAAGAATCAATATGGACACAATATATAATCAAGAGAAGAGGAAGCGAAAAAAGCATAAATTGTTGTGTATAGATTCTGCTCACGATATTTCATAGTGAAAAATATCATAAAAATTATTAACTGATAAAAGGGAACGATAAAGGGGAAAATGCATCATTTTTTTTTGAACATGCATCAATTTGAACCTAAAAGGAGAGGAACTAATATCCTACACCATCATACAATAATGATATATTATATCCCAAAAAATCATTAAAAAAATATATATAAACAAAAAAGTATACTAAATTGAATCTAATGTAAAAGTAACGATGAAGATATATATTATATCTACCTAAGGAATAATGTAAAAGTAACGATAATAATATATATTATGTCGTCATTGAACACTTCAATTCAATGCGCAATATTCCAGCCAATGATATTTGTGTTGAGATTTTAAGATTATCCTTTATTTATAAGTTAGAAAAAATTCTAAATTAATTATTAAAATATGAAAATTCAATTATCAAACACCACAAAATACTTACAAAATACTTGCAGGAGACTTAGCGGGCTAACTAACCGTGATAGAAAAGTACTCTGTTTTTCATAATTTTAACTTCCTCTATGTTTTGTATTAATAAAGTAAAACAAATGTGTCTAATCTAATTGGTTACAATTCTTGTCTTTGATGGAAGAGAAGAGACCATGGTTCAAATCCTAGCATTGATATATTTTTATATGAATTAAAAATTAATTGTGTAGACAAAAATACCCTTCCTACTTTCACTCTTGTGGCAGGAAATTTAAAATGGAGCAAATCAAACTTTTTAAAATGTATTATAAGTAGTGTATAAGATTTATCCCACCCGCCACCCCCATCAAACCCGTTCTTTTTCATTCTATTTATATATATATATATATATATGGTGGCTTCTATCGTACCCCGGGTAAATTCCGGGGTATGGCGTACCTTGGGTGATCTTAACCGTACGTGTGATCTCGACGGCTGAGATTAAATTTTATTAAATGATTTGTTTTTTCGGAATTTATATTAAATAAAATTACAGATCAACTCATAGAATTAGTTTTTCTTTCATTTTAGTCCATTGTAAACCAAATCGGGTTGATTCTGTTTAGTTATTGAATTGACCCAAAATCCAACCACCCTAAGAGAAAGGACACCTACCTTGCCCCACCCGCAGCCCTACCCCTCTCCTCCAAATCTCGACCTTGGACCTTCTCTCTTCTCCATTTTTCTGTTCGAATTGGGAATAACCCTGTTCTTCCTCCCTACTCCTGTAAATCATCCCAGCCGTCTCAGAAAATGGCAGCGATAATTGAACCACTCTGTTTCCTCCTCTTATTCTTCTTCGTTTTCCCGTTCTCGACTGTTATATTTCCCACCTGTCCTATGATTCCTCCCAATCGATTGTTTGAACCCTAAACTGGCCGAATATCGCAGGTAATCTCGGCGTCAAGCTGTGCAAGCATAAGCACCCCCATCCCTTTGAATGAAAACTAATTGTTGCTTGTATGAGTAATTCACTTGTGTAAACAGCTGGGCAGGCGGAGATGATTGCACTGGAGAAGGCAATGAAAGAGGCCATGGTTCTTTCAGGATCTGCTAGGGAGGTAAGAAAGGGATTTTGAATTGAAATTGCCGAAATTGATTTTCGAACTACAACGCTGTGATTTTGGATGGATCTCTGATATGGATGAGGTGTATTGTAGACTGATTTGGGAAGAGAGGTCTCGTTGTTTGAAGCGGAGGCTACAGTTGTGGAGTCTGTATTTCAAAAATTCTATTCCTGCATTTTTTTACACTGAAACCGTGGGGTTCGAACTAAACAGAGACCCCGACAGGCCCAGTCCTGCTTCTATCTTCGTGGTTAACTTTGACAAGGTAAGGGTTTTGACGAATTGTGGTGACGGTTTTATGCATTGATGATAAACCGAGTTAATGTGTATCGGAATTAGGTGCTTAAGATGTCCCTTTCCAGGATCATGTGTGTTTTTGGTCCATTCTTTCAGTAGTCTTTGACATGATCTGTTGAGGAGCTTGTTTGGTGGTTTTCTTTTTCCAGGTCAGAATGGATCCGAGGAACAAGGAAGTCGATCTTGATAGTTTCATGTTTAGCACAGTTGATAAGTTGTCTGAAGAAGATATGAAGAAACAAGAGGGTGATTACATTTATAGGGGGAGCAACTCAAGTTTGGTTGAGCTCAGACAAATATTATTTGAATGGACGATATGTGACCTCTTTCATTTTAGTCACCACGAGAAATGACTATAAGTTCCTTATTCAATTTTAGCCACATTCTTCACTAGTGATGCTTTTAATCATGTTTCGGGTTCTTCCATCTTTATTGAAAAATGGTTTAAGGGTCCACTTGATTGGGCTGGTTGTTGGACGATCCTCCAGCAAATTTCGATGGGTTACTTCATGAAGACGTGATGGGAATAAGTTTCCCGAGGCAAGTAATCTGGCCAGTTTATCTCTATTAGTTTTTATGCGAATCTCAGAGGTGGCTGTTTCTGTTGCTGCTATTTTGGCTATCTGTCTGCAATGTGAGATTACTGTAGCGGTTCCATTTTTGTTTGGTAAACTAGCCTCTGGCTGTGTACTTGTGTTTATTCGGCTGAATAATAAACGTGTCCTTAAATCGTTACCATAAAGAGGGCATTCGTTGGAAAGGAAGAAACAAAACTAAATGCTAAAATGTTTTAGCAGAACACACTATGCGACTAGATATCCTTAAATCGTTACCATAAAGAGGGCATTCGTTGGAAAGGAAGAAACAAAACTAAATGCTAAAATGTTTTAGCAGAACACACTATGCGACTAGATATCCTTAAATCGTTACCATAAAGAGGGCATTTGTTGGAAAGGAAGAAACAAAACTAAATGCTAAAATGTTTTAGCAGAACACACTATGCGACTAGATATCCTTGAGCCCTGAATTCGCCTCTTCTGGGAAGCTGCTTTCCTGAATTAGCCTCTTCTGGGAACCTGCTTTCCTCTCTTGGGAAGCTATTTTGTACTCAAGTGTCTGAGCTTCAAACCTAGGCGCATTCTGATTTGCTTTCTTGAGCACCTTGTGTCTTATGTAATTGGTAGGCTCTTTGACTAGGTACAATGCCACCTGCATTCTTCTCAAATGATTGCATGGCTGTAAGGACAGAAAATATAACGTATTAATACAATAGTTGACATAGTTTTTTTAATGTGCTCGTAGAAATAAATGGGCCTAGGTAGTAGGTGATTTCTTACCCAAATATAATAGTCATCATCCCAAGTTGATCCCATCATCCACACACAAACCCAGATCCCACTATCATTCCTGTTTAGAAAGATGCATTACGTAAGACACAAATATTTTATTTTTCTAGTGAAATTATGACCAAATATACATTCTTACTTGTGTCGTTGTGTAGGAACTTCAGGAGTGGTCAAAGAAAACTCCTTAATCTGTGGTGGTGCACATGTTGATTGAACTTCCTTGTGCAAGGCATCGAACAAGTCGTTCAGAAATTCAATCTACAACGTTCAAAAAGTAACCTATGAATTACAAAATTTTGTTGGAAAATATAATGCCACATAATTGAATTACAAACACGTGTATTGAAGTATGTATTCAATGGCACAAATTTTAACTATACCATTGTGTGAACTGCATTCCTACGGATTGTCTGGCGCTCTTTTGATGGGCATGAATCCAGAATGTGTACTTGTTTCTGGTCCATCAAAATTATAGCTAAATACCAGTGGATGCCTTCATCATTCATCATATCTTTCATGGGAAGACAAACCTTCACAGGTACGAGAAAACAATCCAATTAACTAATTAGTTTTCCGACATAATTCATTCAAGAAATTAAGCAGAAGGGCAAGCATAATTCACGCGCACATATGTTGTGAAAACCGCTACTAAATAAGCAGAAATGAGAAGGAAGAATTGTGGAGAAGTCATAACCTTTCTACAGTTATGAGCTTTTGATAGGAATTTTGTATCATATAACTCTAATGCCTTTGCAGATGTCATGCCATAATTAACGACCATATCCTGGTAGGAAAATGAAGTTAAATCATTGAACACTAATCTTACTTAATAAACAACCAACCCTGTGTAAACTGAATTAGAATTACAAAGCAAAAGCAACACTTACCTGCAATTCCGTAGGCAGAAAGCACACTCCTCTTCCACGACCAGTATCTCTTTTAACTTCGTCCAAGGTCAAGTGTCATGCTAACGCTGTAATTACCTAAAACACAATAGAAATAAAATCCAATGATTAAAAATCGTTAAGCACGTTCAGGTCAACTAGGGGCTTTTCGCAGAAGTACTTACATCAGCATCAACGCTTGACTCGGGGCATAAGCTCCATAATGTCTGCCTGGTATATGATTTCATCATTGTTTTGACCAAAGCTTCATCAGGAGGAAGGTCTTCTGCAAATATATAGTGAGCAAAACTCACTTCTTCGTCACTGTAGTTGACGGCTGTAGGGAGCTCAAACCTTGTGGTACCCTTCAATCATGGAGAACGAACAAATAGAGGAAATAAGAAGAGGTTTTCACTAGGATTACAAGTGGCGGAGAAAGGAACGAAGGAAAACAACGAAAATAGTGGGCGAAAAGGAAGCATATGTACATCACTAGGATTGCATACCTTCATTGACAATTTTTGTGGAGGCGTGAGGGGTTTGTTTTGCACACCTAGCTCATAATGTTCCAGCCCTGGTTCAGCATCAAGAACAATCACCTTCGAGTCGGGTGTAGGTGGGGGGATGACGTCTTGCATTCTTGTTTTCTTTGCATGAGATACATAGTTCTCCAATTCCTACAATAATGAACAATCAAGTCAGAATAAGTTTTGTATAAATAACCTACTGTTAAAGCTCCTGGACGAACCATAGACTTGGCTAGAGAACGCGTTAGGCGTACAGTAGACTGGCCGCTCGTCATCTTGTTCTTCTCCCTAATATAATTGTACAAAAAAGCAACGAGAGAGTGGAATATAAGAACAAATACAACGAAATAGCTGACTAAAAAGTTAAAGAAAACACATTAGCGGATTGCAGAACTTACCCTTCCTTCCCCATAATGTTACAGACACAATGTTGACCAAAGGGCCTCTGCGCTACTTTTAGTTGAATGAGTTTTGGGCAAGATGTTTGGCCATATTAATAGATGCGCCAGAGGGGTGTTTAACCTCGTCTATTAGGAAAACCCGTGAGATATCAATTAGAGTTTTTTTATATGTGGGAACTTCTATATTTATCCACCTCATTAAATGAACTTAATAAGGAATTAACTAGTTACGTGTGAACTTCTATATTTATCCACCTCATTAAACCGATTAGGGGCTTCATTTTAGGGTTTTAAGGTTCGAAAAGACAAGACCACGAAAACAGATGGAAGGAGGGGCCACCTGGTGCAATTGATGCTTTTGGAGTAGGTTTCCTCCATTTGAGGGACGACAGGCTTGGTTATGCGAACCAAGGAGGTTATTTAGGCCCACTAGTTTTATTTAAATAGGCCAAACGAATTCAGTCCAGCCCATGGATGTTTTGACCCAAATTGTTCTGTTAAAAACAAGGATTTAATTTCACAGCTTATATACAACATCCTTTAGGTTTTTCATAGTGAAGCGCCAGCGGAGAGGCTAGTTCCTTAGTACTACTTTGGCTACTTAGGGTTAGTTGGCTTGGACAATCACAAGCGCGACGATCATGGAAGACGATGAAATCGTCGAAGTGGAAAACAATGAAGATATTAACAACAGTAACGGTTCAACTATTCACAACGTTCACCAAAGTTCAGAGGTAGAAGATGATGATCTTGCCGATCTCTTACTTCTACAGCAAGAAGATATCGAGAAGCTAAGATTCGCAAACACTGAAGAATCCTATGATTTTTGGAGGAACTATGGGCTGGTCACCCACGGCTTTGACGTCAGGAAAGAAGATATTGGCCGAGATAAAGACAAGGTCATGATATGGCGTCGGTTTGTATGTTCTGGTCAAGGAACAAAGCGCGACCGAAAGGGTGAACGAAAGAGGGAACCAAAAGGAGAGACGATATTTGACTGCAAAGCTAGGATTCGTGTACGACTAGACAAGTCAGATGGGAAGTGGTTTGTGGATACCTTTCATAACGTGCACTCTCACGTAACGGTTCCAAAAATATACCGACACTACATGAAAGGGAATCGACAGTTGAGTGATGCAGTTAAAGCAACAATCAATTTCCGGAGAGCTGCAGGAATGAAAACATCACAGATTGTTTCACTAGCGGTTGCAGAGGCAGGAGGCTATAGCAAGATGGGGTTCACGAGGAAAGATGCGTATAATTACGTGGACAAAGATCGGAAGGAACATATTAGTGATGGTGATGCTGCGACAGCACTAGCTTACCTACAGGCGAAACTAAGTGCGGATGAACAGTTCGTAATTGAGCTAAAAAAAGACGATGAAGACAGGCTTGTTAACTTGTTCTGGGCAGATAGTATTTCAGTGGCTGATTATGCATGCTTTGGAGAATTATTGGCTTTCGATGCGACTTACAAAAAGAACGTCTACAATATGCCTCTAGTCATTTTTTCAGGTACTAATTCTTTTATTTTCGGTTCATAGTAACTTATATTTTCATTCCTATAAAGTATAAAGAATTTATTCATTGAAACTTAATACCACACGTTAAAGGGCCTAATGCAATATCACTTCCAATCGTTATGGGTATAGTGTAATTCTTGTCTTATTAGTGAAGTAATTTTAATAACCTGTTTATTTTTTAGGTGTGAACCACCACTTCAACAGTTGCATATTTGGATGTTCATTTTTGGCAAATGAGAAAGAAGAAAACTATGTATGGGTTCTAGATGCCTTGAGGAGAAGGTTGGGCGGTGTAGATCCTAAAACTGTTGTTACAGATGGAGATAAAGCCATGCGCAATGCAATTCAGCAAGTATTCCCCGATGCGACACATCGTTTATGTGCTTGGCACATAGACAAAACTATTGCCAGAAAAGTGATTCACAATCCTAACTTCTTGCCACAATGGAAACATTTCGTGTCAGCTGATTGGGAACCTTCAGTATTTGAAGAGAAGTGGAAAACAATGGTCGAGGAGTGCTCACAGCAGCATAACAATTGGGTTTCACATCTATTTGACCAAAGAACTGAATGGGGGTATACATACTTGCGCTCAAAGTTCTTTGCAGGCTTGTCAACAACGTCTAGATGTGAAGGAATGAACTCTCAGCTTACCAAGTATATCGAAAACAATCATAATCTACTTGAGTTCTTTATTCATTTTGATCGTTGGGCTAGGGATATGAGGGAGATGGAGCAACAAGCTGATTTTGAGTCCATCCATCGTGAACGGACAATAACGTCTAATATATTAGTCTCACTTCAAAAGAGTGCGTCTAAATTATTCACAAAAGAAGCCTTTTTCAAATTCAGAGATGAGGTTGAAAAGTCGGGAGCTTGTGTAAGGATGGATTCAGAGATATCGGAAAACCAACGCATTTACAGAGTGACAATGTCAGGTAAACAAAAGGTTTTTCAGGTCACATACACAATTGAGCCCTTCGCTATGGAGTGTAGTTGTAACTATTACCACTATATGGGAATACCATGCGCTCATATGGTTCATCTACTGAAAGAAGAGGGTATGCTGGAACTTCCAGAACGGTTGGTAAAGTTAAGGTGGTCAAAGAAGCCGAAGACACTTGATAGCTTACAACAACCACACAATATGGACGAGGCCAGACTATTCACATTCAGGTTCGTAGTTACTGTATAAAGCTGGAAATTGTGTGTTACTGTGTTTAAGAAAGCAGTTCAGATGTGTTTATTAAATACTAAGGTGGTACCAGAGGGCGTTGACCCGTTTTAGAACATAAGCTTTCCCTTTTTCGTGACGTTTTAATAGAATAATATTGACTGTGGTTTTCAGATATGGGCTTCTTCAACAAAGCAGCTCCCAGTTATGGTTAAAAGGGGCAAAATCAAGCGAAAGCTTCAACCTTGCTCGTACAGGAATTGCATCCATATGTGAATCGCTAGACATGATGAACGAAGGTGATACTGAGATCCCAGATATCAATAGACCAAAGGAAAAAGAGAAACTTTTGGATCCACATCCTGTGAAATACAAAGGTTCGGGTGGACAAGAAAACAAAAGGAAGAAAGGGGAGCAACGAATGTGTAGCAGATGTGGCGTATTGGGTCATAAAAAAAGCACTTGTAAGAAGCCTCCTGATTATGTGAGGCCTACAATACCAGAACCTACTGATACTGAAACTAATGAAGAACCAAATAGTGAAAACGTCGCCAACAACGGAGCTGACTAGCAAGCACCACACATTGGCAGAAAACCAAAACATTGCAGTAAATGTGGGAAGGATACTCATAATGCCAGAACTTGTCCAGAGTTATCAGAGGAGGATACTGAAGAGGATGTTGATACAACCGACATCCCTGATCCACCAACTGTAATATTAGAAGTTCATTGTGCATGTCTAGAATACTTTTGGGAAACAATTATTTTCGTTGGAACTAAATTTTATATATTCAATGTTGCAGAAGAAGCCATGTACTAGAAGCGAAGGCCTGAGGAGCAGCAAGAAGGCTAGTTGAAAAGATTGGCATGGATTCTAATAACCGGAGACACATTTCGAATCTGGCCATTTGTTTGATACTCTATGGACGAGTTAGGTTCTTTGATTGGAGGACGCTATGATGTTTGGTTGGGTATTTTCATACTTTCTGGTCCTGGTTGTTCATGTTTTAGGTTCATTAAACAGGTCTATAGTCTGTAACCAATATTCAGATACAATGTCTTCAACCACATGTGCACACACGAAAAACACTCTGTATTGAAAAATATCTAGCTTGGAACTAAACACTAAGCACTAAGCAGAAGACCTGAGGTCAAAAACCGAGCACAGAGCAAAACCGAGCAACAACCACAGCCACAGGTCTCAAACCACTCTGAACGCTTTGATTACAATCCGAACAGCTTGCCAATGGAAATTAATTGAGGTCAGAAACAAAAATTATCGAGCCTACAATCAAATCAAGAGCAGAGACGAAAAAAATTGAATGGACCGCTTGATTCATTGGATCTGATTACAATCCTCATCGATGGACAATTGAGGACCCGAGAACTTCACTCCGCGTTAGTACAAAGGCTATTCTGTCAAAACTCCAAATCAGTGATAGACCAACACAAATGAGAGAAAGGACAGAGAATTTAGAACATACCTCCATCAGGACTCGCATGAAGCAGCGCCGCCGTCGATGGGAAGAGAACCCAAAACTAAAATCGACAACCCGACCTTTGGCTGAGATTACAATATATGATTATGAGAAGGAGAAGAAACGAATTGACGATTGTGGGAAGGGTTTGGTTCCACTCCGGCCGGTTGACGAACAAGCAAGGTGAAAGAACGAAATGAAGAGAAGGAAGTCAGAAAGGTAAAGTTGGGTTGGCAATATTTTTATTTTTTTCATAGGGTGGAAAACTAAAATCGATGAGAGAGGGAAATTTTACGGAAAAATGAAAAAAGAGGCTCCAAATGTTCCCTCCTGCACTTTTCGAATTTCTTTTTCCTTTTTCATACGATGAGAAATTAAAATGGGAAAGGAGAGAATGAAACTATTAAAAAATGGCTCTAAGATTCACGCTAATTAGTCATTACTAAGGGGTCGTTTGCCGGTTACTTTTGGCTATAGAAGTCAAGTGAAAAGTAAACAGAAATTAATAAACCGGAAATTTGACAAGTAGATGGTGTATTAACATGTCACTCCAAAGAAATATGGTCCATTTTAATGAGCCAAGCCGAACTCATGCTCGGCTCTTTTGTGAACGAGCTAATACGATCCAACCACGACCCAACTCATTTATTGAGTTTTGGCTCATCATTTCGATCAAAATTTTGGCTCGAGCTAGCAAACAACTCA